TTCTGCTTGTTTGCTGGGGGCTGGGGGCCAGGCTACAGATGCCGACGCTTTCGGGCGTTTCCCCCTGCATTTGTTTGGCCCGAAGAGGAGGATCGAGGAGCCACAGTTCTATGACCTGCGCTTTTGTACGTTTTCTGTGCCCCGAGAGGCTTCAGGACAACTCCAAAGGCCTCTGGGGACCTCCTCCTCCTCCTCCTCCTCGTGCTCCTCCTGCTCCTGCTCCTCCTCCTCCTCCTCTTCCTCATCCTCATCCTCATCCTCTGCCTCCTCCTCCTCCTCGTCCTCGTCCTCGTCCTCTTCACCTTCTTTCCCCCCTCCCGTTTTCTTCCTGCAAGCGTGGAACAAATGGCAGCTGAAGTCGGAGGAAAAAGCAGGGACGGAACAGTAGCAGCAACAGCTCCGCTTGCCATACCGCTCGCTCCTGCAGAAACCAGTGGCTTTCCAGATACTGGATTTGATGAGTAGGCGTGTTGCGCACGCCTGCGGCGAACTATCGCAGGTCGATCTCGGCCGCGTTCCGCCCTCTCCCGTTGGACATCCATTATCGTTTCTGCCACCTCTTCGTTCCTTCTGTCATGATACAACGTATTACTGTCCGCCTCCTCTTCCTCCTCCCCCTCCTCCTTCTCCTCCTCCTCTTCCTCATCATCATTAGCAGCAGCACCTGCATCAACATCAGCATCAACATCAGCATCAACATCAGCATCATCAGCATCAGCATCGTCATCATCTGCAGCAGCAGCATCAGCATCATCATCATCAGCAGCATCATCATCAGCATCAGCATCAGCATCAGCACCAGCATCAGCATCAGCATCAGCATCAGCATCAACATCAGCATCAGCATCGCCATCATCATCATCATCATCATCATCATCATCATCATCATCATCATCATCATCATCATCATCATCATCATCATCATCATCATCATCATCATCATCATCAACATCATCACTGTCATCGTCATCTTCATCGTCATCGTCATCATCATCATCATCAGCAGCAGCAGCAGCCTCATCACGATGATTGTCCTCGGCATCAATCATCATAACCATCATCAGCAGCAGCAGCAGCATCACCATCGTCATCCCAGCCGAATCCCTCCCTAGCGTGGCTCGGGCAGCTGCGGGCGCGAATCCCAAGCTTGGCACGCGCCCGCAAGCCGACGGATTGCTGCGCGCCGGCGGGGACGCTTTGGCCCAGCCCGACGCTGTGATTGCCAGCACAGGGCGCGAGGTGATCCAGCGAGAGCGCCAGCTGAGTCGTGCCCCAGCTCGCCCAACGGTTCGGACGGAGGCCTGGCGCTCCCGCTGGCCAAGAGGAGGACGCAGTGAGGCAGCAGCGGCGGGTGCCGCAGCCAGGTGCCCGCGAGTGGCCTGCCGCGGCGCCGCGCGATCACGGAAGAAGCCACTCGACCAGCTCTGCCAGCATGGGCCCGGCAGCCTCCGAGTGCTCGCGGACGACGAGGGGGTGTGGGCAGGGTCTTGGACGGGCTGCGCACCTGCGGAGATGACGAGGAGGTGGGCAGATGGCGAGGAGGTGGGCGGATAGCGCGGGCAGGAGTGAGGCGGCCGGGCCGTGGACGGCGGCAGGGCGCATGCGGGCGCGGGTGGGCAGATGGCGAAGAGATGGACAGGGTCGTGCGGGAAAGGCGCAACTGCTGCATGCCGAGCCTCGGAGACCTCGAGGCCGTGCGGCGGAAGCCACCGGCTGCGCCGCCCGCGGCAGCGGCCTATATGTGCAGGAGCGGCACCCGTTCGAGGAGCGGAGGCCCCATGGTCCTGCATCGGTATCTCGCCCAGTGTGTCTGCGGAGCTGCCCCTGCACCGCGGAAGACTGCGCGCGGCTCCCCCCTCTCCAGCTAATTGCGCTCCGAATCGAGACGAGGAGCCGCACACGGAGCGGCGCGGGACCTCAGGTCAATGAGCGTCGGCGGACCACCTCGCCGATCTTGGCCAGGCCAGTCCTGGGACCTGCCAGGAAGGCGTGCACACCTGCTCAGCCAGGAAGGATTGGCGGACTTTCGGCGCGCGCCTCTGGCGCCGCCCCTGGCGCTCCGCGCGCCAGAGAGGGGGCGCCCAGCGCCGATCCTAGAAATTCGCGCGGACCTGCGAATGCATTCTATGTTTACGCAGCTTTCTCGCACTCTTCTTATCTTCAATCGTAGTATTGTGTGTGGTCATTCGTCTTCGTCTTCAGGTCGGGGGCACGCGCGGCTCGCGCCCGAGATCGGGCGAGTCCTGGACGCCCGAAAGGCAGCATGTCGAGGCACGTTCGGGGGCAGAGAAGCAGCGCCCCACAGGCTCGGTGAGCGCACAGGGCCAGGGGCGGCAGGCGCGGCCAGGGACCTCCACGAGGAGCGGCACTCGAGCAATCGGTGGAGGCTCAACATGTGGCTGGCGGGGAGAGGCAGGCCGCAGCTGGGCCTGCCGACGACGAAAGCGAGGCCGAGACCGCTTCAAGGGCTCTGCTGGGACCTCGACCAGGCGCTCGGCGCGGCGCGCATCACGCGCGGCCAGAGGTGATCCGGGCCAGCCTCGCGCAACACCTGTGCCCTGGGCCCCGCGCGGCCGATTTGTCTCGGTGCTCAGGAGACGGGGGTCAGTGCAAACAGGGGTCAGTCAGAGCGCCGGGTCTTGCAGGAACCTGCAAGGCCAAGGGTGCGCTGACCCCGGTTTGGGTGCAGGGTCTTACAGGATCTTGCAGCCTGCAGGATTTTGCAGGATCCTGCGCGGCCTGACTGACCCGGATCTGCATTGACCTGGGTCAGAACATCCCCGATTGTCAAGGCTACCGAGGGGCCCCTGGGGGAGCTGGGGCCGCTCTGGGCCGGCGCCCGTTGGAGCACCCGACTGTGGACGGGGAGTTCCCCAGGCGCTGGGGCGGGCGTCCCGGAACCGGGGGGGGGGCGGGGCGATAGAAGTGCGGGGTGGGGGGTGGGTCGAGGGCTACAGGAAAGGGGCCCCGTGAGAGCCCCGAACGTGCTTGAGGGGCGAATCCCTCCCCACGACCCGATTGCCGACACCCACCCCCACACACGCCCGCCGAGCAGCCCCAGGCAGCGCCCTGAGGCGCACGTGGCTTCCGCTCCGGGGTCGCGAGCAAGGGCGAGGGCGTGCGCCGACCCTTGCAGGGGCAGCGCGGCGGCCGCGAACAGAGACGGAGTAGGAAGGGGGAGGGGGCGGCCGCCGGGGCCGGTTTCCCTCCTCGACGGGCCCAGTGCGCAGGCACGGAGGCCGTGGGGGGCCCAGGAGCGGCCTCCGGCCTGGGAGGCAGGTGATGTGGCGCTGCCTGCGGCGCAGGCGCTCGAAGCCTGGGCGCAAGTATGGCGCCCAGGGTTTCCCAGATGTCCTGGTGTTCCGCACGGGCCGCGGAGATGAGGGCTTCCGTATACTCCATGGAATTCTTGGAACGCGTCCTGAGCCAATCGTATCTTGACATCGTTCCCGCCCGACTGTCGCCAGCACCCAGGCGGCCTCTGGCTTTCCACCTGCGGTTCTGAGAAAGACCCTTCCCAACGGCACACCTTCTCCGCCGCAGGCGCTGTGGCGCAGTCTGTGCCAGCACACAGGCGGCCTTTGTCTTTCCCACCTGGGTGCCGAGAAAGACCCGCGGCTTGCCTTCCGCCGGGGGCGTGGCACGGTCGCTATCAGCAATTCGAGTGGGGACCCACCCCCGACGGCGCGCGCTTTTTGTTCCTCTGGCGAGGTGGCAGTACCGTCGCAAACGAGGGCGGGGGCACCTACACCGTCGATGCGGTGCGATGCTCCGGCCCCGTCTGCCTTGGCCCCACGTTGGGCGACCTCCCCAGGTGCAGTGCACCTGGGGAGGTGCACCTGGTGCACCGGGCCAGGTGGCGGCGTGTTCAGCCGGCCGATGAGGAGCTCAGTCGAGGGCCGCCTTGTCGGCGAGGCGCAGCTCGGGAAGCTCTGCGAGCGCAGGCGGCGCAGGCGCACGTGCAGGCCCTGCCTGGGAGCCCCGCCACGGGAGACCGCGCGAGGCCGAGGCGCGGAGGGGTTCGGAGGCGCGGGGCCCCACCGACGAGGAGCTCGTCGAAAGGCCGGGCCGGCCCCCGCCGCGGAGCTCGGCGAGAGGCAGCGCACGCAAGGGAGCTCGGCCGAGACCTCGCGGGCCCTGGGGGGGCCTGGGAACCGCGCAACTGGCCTCCATGTCGTGGGCTCCTGGGAGGTCCAGCGGAGCGGAGGTTGGAGCAGTGGTGAAGCGTCCTGGCTCGCCCATAGGCCCACCAAAGAATGTTCTAAGAACCGATTGTGGTCTGCACGAACTGTTCTCAGAACATTTCTGGCTCAGACTGCCTTGTTTTAGCGCATCGGGTCTATGTTCTAAGAACATTGGTTTTGTTCTTGGAACATTTCTGGGTTCTAAGAGCATGTCGTGGTAGGACTGTAGGGATGCCGGGACGGTCGGTCCCTGCTCAAGAGGTCTACGCGGAACCAGCTAAGATTTTTGGGCTCTTTGGGGGGCTGCAAAGTGCGCGTCTTTCATCATGTTATGTTCGTTTGCGTTGAGCGGTCCTTACCATAATTCGCTGCCCCGTGTGAAAAAGGGTTGGGTACGTCACCAGGTAAGTTCTTTATCTGCCATCCCCTTCCCCCGATATCATGGTAGCGGCAGCTGGCAACTACGTTTTACCAGAAAGTTCCAGTGGCAAACTGGCATACAAAAAGGGAGGTGCCGCTCACGGTTGTACCTCCCTCACCTCTTCTCTCGCCTCATGTCCTCCTCTTCCCCCTGCGCCTGCATCCGCGTTCCAATTCTCCCCTCCCCGTCATCGCGTTCCCCTTCCCTCATCATTCCCCCTCACCCTAGTCTTCACGATATTTCTCCTCCATGTCGCCTCCTCCCCGCCTTTTCCACATCATCCTCACCCCCTGTCCTCGTATTATTGCTCCCACGTTGTTTCCCCCCCTCCCCCGCCTGCTCGTCCGACCTCTGCCTGCCCCGCGCCCCATCCCCATTGGCTCATGAATGATGGCCAGCTTCAGGATCCACGCGCGCCCTCCCCCCAACCTCCTCCTCGCGTCGCCCGCCTCTTGTCGCCTCCTCTTGTTCAGGCTCCACGGCCGCATCCAATTTCCACCTATCTGTCTATCTATCTGTCTGTTCGTCTGTCTGTTCGTTTGTCTGTCTGTCTGTCTGTCTATGTAGCTGCCCGCGGCAACCCTGCCACTGTGCCTGTGCAACATCGCAGCAGGTAGCTGGCTGAGTGTAGGAACAGCGCAATTCCGACAAGTAGTCTGCATTTGGGCGGGTCGAGATCCTGGCCTCGTCTTCGTCCGCGTACGGAGGAGGAGGAGGAGGAGGAGGAGGAGGAGGAGGAGGAGGAGATGTCTTGGGGCCTTATTTAGGCTTCCTGGGGGCCTCCAGGGAGTTTCCTGAAAGCTTCTTGGGAGCGCCTCGTGGGGCCTCTTGGGACTTCTTGGGCCGTCTGAAGGGACTATTGGCTCGTCTGACGCTGGGGCCCTCTTGGGAGCCCCTTGGGCGATCTTTGGGTCTTCCTGCGCCGACTTCGGGCCCACTTGAGGGCTTCTTGGGCTGCCTTGGAGCTAGCTATATTGGAGGCCTCTTGGAGCGTCTTGGGCGGTTGGAAGCCCGAACGGGTGAGACCTCAAAATATCTTTAAAGCTTGAGGAACATGAATGGGTTTGGCCTCGGGCTCTCCAGGAGGGCTCCTTGGAGACCTCTTTGGCCGTCTTGGGGGTTTCATGCTCCGTCTTGAGGCTGTCTTGGGAGCCTGTTGAGTTGTTTGTGGCCCTCTGAGGCTATTTTGGCGTCATCTTGACTACCGTGAAAGTCGTTCTGGAAGCCATGAGGATCCCAAGAAGTCCTCAAGACAGATCAAGAGGCCCTCAAAACTGCCGAAGAGGTCTGCGAGAGGCTCTCCAGGAGAGCCCGAGGAGGCCAAAGCCATTGATGGTCCTTAAGGTTTTTGAAGGATTGTGAGGTTCTGGCATGTGTGGTTTTTTTCTGACCTCCCAGGACAGCCCAAGAAGCCTCTCTGGTCCGTTGTGCTGCTCTCGTGGAGCGTTTCAAGGCCGTCTTGGGATCCTCTGGAGCATATTGGGCGATCTTTGGGTCTTCTTGGGCCGACTCGGGGCCCTCTTGGGAGCCTCTCGGGCTGTTTTGGAGCTATCGCGGAGGCCTCTTGGAAGCCTCTTGGAAGCCTTTTGGGCCGTCTTAGCTAGTCAGAAACCCGAACAGGCGAGAACCTTCAAATTCTTCAAGAACCTAAGGACAATTCATAGTTGTGGCCCCCTCGGGCTCTCCAGGAAGGCTTGGCCAAGCGGGCCGTCTTAGGGGCCTCTTTGGTCCTCTTGGGGCATTTTGAGCCGTCTTGGGGCTGTCTTGAGAGGCCTTTGCCTGAGCTGTCCTGGGTCATCTCGAGCCGTTTTGTCGTCGTCTTGGCTGTATTGGAAGCCGTCTTGGAGGCCATCTTGGCCGCCAGGAGGCCGAAAAGAGCGCCGGGGAGCAACTTCAGTGGGGGCATTTTTAAACCCCGCGCACGATGCAGGGGGGGTCGGCCTGTGAAAACATAGAAACGCTCCCAGAGGGACCACAGGAGGATTCTCACACGCCCACTCCGCGCAGGCATGGTTGCGGATCTCTACAGACTGTAACCGGCGACTGAGGCCCTGGACCCCCCTCTTCTTTTCAGGACTCCCTCGCCCTCCGCACCAGACTTTCGTCCCTGGGGCCAGCGGGCCGTATTCAGCGCTCCGAGCGAGTTTCCAGGCATGACGGCTCCAGAGGACGCAAAGTGGCCGCCAAGGCGGACCAACGTGGACAAAGAGGCTCCTAGATGGCCACAAGGTGGTCAGAAGAGACACGGAGGACCATTCGAACGTGTCCACCAGGTGGATTCTGTCAGAGGTGTCTGGCTCCAAGAGGCTTTTAAGAGGGGCCCCCGAGGCCCAGATCAGTGAAATTAGCCTGGCGAAGGACCCAACCATATGCAGTTGTGAGTACCGCAATTGTGGATATCTTCTTCGGTGGCGCTCCCTATGGGGCCACGAACCGTATGAAGGTGTGCCGAATTGTGCGGCGTAGCCTCTGCAGGGGGGCTTCCCTGGGAACCTCGACGGCAGCGCCCGCGCGCCGCGACGCCCATGTCGGCGCGCCCCACGCGAGGATCGCGCCCGCTTCCTCTCCTCCTTTTTCCATGTCCTTTGCCCGCGCACTCCAAAGTCCAAGGCTGCGGGCGCAGCGCCATGCGGAGCCCTCGCGACTCGCGCAGGTCGCCCCGAGGGGGTCGCAGTGACGCGCGCGGTTCGTCCGCTGAGCGGAACAGAGATTGCTTGCTGGCTAACTCATAGCGCGCATGGCTCTGGCCGCCGGGCGGAGCGACGACGGGCGAGCGAGGCGCTGGACAGAGCGCAGCGCGGAGTTCGGGCGACGCGCGCTGATCGCCCCGAGAGGGCCCCATCGACGCGCGCGGAGCGTCGGCGGCGCCAGGCCGAACAGCCGGACAGCCAAGAGAAGAAGCGGCTGGGGCGGGCCGCTCCTCAGGTCAGGCCTCGCGGATAAACTCAGTGAAGCCGAGGTCCTTGGCGAGGGCCGTGGCCTCCCTCCTGCACCGCTTCGTGCGCGCCGCAAACTGCTCCAGCTGCTTCCGCAAGCCCGCCGGCGGCCCGGCCAGGAAGAACTCGATGCGCGGCGCCCGCATGAGCAGGAGGTCCTCGTGTCGCGTGGCGCGCGAGAGCAGCACGTAGAGCTCCAGCCACCAGTCGTCGTCCTCCTTCTTGCCGTTCCCGACCTCGTGGCGGCCGCAGTCCAGGATCACGCCTGGGCGACGTCGGCCGAGGGAGCGGTGCGCCCGGCAGCCGACGGCCCAGGGCGGCGAGAGTCCACAGGACCGAGGTCTGGCTGCGGACTGCTCGCGCCCCGGAGGTCTCGCTGTCCCCGGAGCGCCGTTCCCCCGCCCCGTCGCCTTCTCGCATGGTGCGCCCCTGGCACGCCACCGTGGTGATGACCCTGCCGTGCGAGAACGGGAAGCCCGTCCGGGTGACCTTGGAGGTGCGGAAGGTGAACGCCTCCGACGTGCGGGGCTCGATGAACACCAGCGGGCCCGCGAGGTCCCTCGCGAGGCTGTCGTCGTGGCGCTTCAGGTCGTCCACGAAGGGCGCGCTCGCGTACTTCTCCATGCGCACCCAGAACCCCAGCGGCAAGCGCTTCAGGTAGATTCTCTTCTCCCCGTCTCTCTCTGCTCTCTCGACGTCGCCCCGATCCCGAGGGTCCACGACGATGTGCACGATCTGCCCCTCGGCGTCCTTGACGAGGCCGTTCTTGAGGTCGAGCGCCTCCAGGAGCCGGATCCGCATGCCCACGTGCGCCGGGGGCAGTCCGTGCATGCCACCGGTATTCTTCGGGTTGGCACAGTTCATCATCTTGGCGGCGTCCTTGACGCTCATCGTCGGTGCAGACCTGTCGGCGGCCTGCACGAGGAACAGGGGCTTCTTCAGGACGTCCGCGTCCCGCTGAGCACGCATGTTCATCCAGCGCGCCACGGTGTCCCAGTAGGACCCGATCATGTGGCCGTTCTGGAACCTCTCCTCCCGGAGCCGGCGATCATCGGGTTTCAGCTGCATGGCGTTCCACGTGGCCCGGATGGCCGGAGGGACCTGCTTCCCCGGCTTGCGCAGGAACGCCATGAGGTCCCTGAGTTTCGGGTCCTTGAAGCGGTTGGACGCCTGGAGCTCGAAGCACAGCGGCGTGTTGCAGAAGAGCTTCATCACTGCCTGGTACTCTGGAGCGAGGTTGATGCCCGCCGCCGCCAGCTCCTCGAAGCTGGAGATGAGCGACACCTTGCCTCCCGTCGGCTTCAGCTGCAGGAAGTCCCCCAGGTGGATCACGATGGGCATCCGTCCGAAGGCGCCGCCGACCTGGTCGTACTCCCGCTCCTGCGCGCCCCGCTCGGCCTTGCGTCCCAGGTAGGACCGGAACGCCAGCATGTTGTACAGGTTGGGCGAGATCATGCTCACCTCCTCCAGGATCAAGCACCTGACCGCCTCCCACGTGTCCTGCAGCGCTTTCAGCCTGCCCCCCGCGGGTATGTCCTTGTTCCTGAAGGACTGCACTCCGATGACTCCCGCCCGGTGGCAACTGACGGCCATGTGAGCGTCCGTGGAGATGTTCGCGGCCTGGGGCCACTTCGCGCAGACTATCAGCTTGGACTTCGCCTTGCCCGTTTCCACAGGGAACAGCGCGTCCATGGCCGGCAGCACGATCTCCTGCACCATGGCTGTCTTCCCGCTGCCGCCCTGGCCGAGGAGCAGGAATTGGAACGTCTTCCGCTTCGCGTGCTTGGCCATGCTGCCGTCCTCGATCTTCTGCTCCTCGTCCCACGCCACGTTGCAGGCGTTCGCGAACGCCGTGACGAACAGGGCCTGGTCGGGCTTCAGAGGGCGGCGCTCCTGCTTCCCCGTGCTCGGGTTGACCACGCCGTCCTCGAACTTTTTGACGAGGCGCTTGACGAGGTCGCTGGGCCGCTGCAACTCCTCCGACGGCTCCCACCGCGCCTGCGCCGCCTCGGCCGGCGTCGCGCCAGCGCCCGCTGCCCCGACGTCGTCCGGCTCGGGGGCGTCGTCCGCGGGCACGTCCGCGTCCTTCGTGCCCCCCTTGGCGAACCTCTTTCGCTGGGTCTCCACCAGGTCCTTTAGCTCTTCTGCGTCGAGGTCGCGCAAAGCCCTGAACGGAGCGAGGACGTCTTCCTTCAGGGCGCGGGCAGCACGCCGCGGCGCGTCGGCGTCAGTCGGCCCGGGTAGCGCGCCGTTCTCCATCATCGTGGCGGCCTTCTTGAGCTCCTTCACGAATGCCTGCGTGCGCTCGGCGGTGTCGAAGCGCAAGATCTGCCCGAGCGTCTCGGGGTCGAAGTGGTGCTCCAGGACAACGTTGGCGCCCAGCTTCGCGAAGCCGTCCTGAGCGCGGATGCCCTGGGCCTCCACCTGCGCGGCGCCCGCCCCCGAATCCTCGGCGCCCTCCCGGAACACGGGGGCCTCCGCGACCTGCACGTCGTCCTT